TAGGTACCACGCATGACCAAGAGCTGTGTTTGAGCTCTTTGAGACTAATGTGAACGGCGAACATCCTCTTAAAATTTCAGCTTTCTAGCTTTTCTGGTTCGCGAGTTCTCAACTTGTCCGAAAAAAATTTTGGCGTTCTCGTACGCGGGAGCCACACTTACCCGAGAGCTGAGTTAATATCTACTTGGATGAACATCCCCTTAAAATTTCAGCCTTCTAGCTTTTCTGGTTCGCGAGTTATCAACTTACCCGAAAAGAGTTTGGGCAGTCTCTTACGTGAGTACCACGCAGGTAAGACAGCCCATTTCGGGGATGGGGGCCCGTACATGTGTGTAGATCATGTCCACAAAGTTTCAGCCCTGTAGCTTTTGTCGGTCTCGAGATGAAAAATCGGTACAGACGAACACACTAACACAGAGACAACCCCTCGTCAGTATGCGTTTTCTGCATTGCACAGCTGCAAAAAACGCATAATAAAAATAAAGGAAAAAACGCATGAATAAATTGTTATATACAAATGCAGGTAGAAAAATTCAAAATGATTTATGTTTATGCAAATAAGTGTTTTTTAACATAAACAAATCTGAGTAGACAAATAAATATAAATGCTCATAAATGATATAAACATATAAATGATATGAACAAATAAATACAAATGCTCATATATGTTAGAAAGATGATCTAGAACATAGGGACATTTCGACCAATTAAATTGCGCGTACGTCTTATCGACTTAATGGGCCGGAACATTTCTTACCATTAAAAATAATTTTCAATACATCTAAAATTTGATTAATTTCTTTTCAAAATTAAAATATTTTATTATCCCATTATCGTAGCTGGATCATCTCATTAATTATCAGCAGTTGCGGTGCAATTTTATTATACCCTTGTGCAAAATGTTGTTAGATTGCTGCGATAGGTAACCGAATTGTTAAGTTGAACAATTCTGAGCCGAATATTTTTGCATCAGAATATAACGTCCTTACCAAAAAAAAACTTGTTCGGTAGTGCGGTATTGCAATTTGTGCCAGTAGCAAATTCTAGGAAGTGGAGGAGGAGGATTCGCATGCCAGTGATCCAGCTCTTAAGCGAACCGGTCGATGCTTCGGTGGGCTAATTCTGGATATTAAACGCAAAGCACCATGGTACCTCTCCGATTTCACTGATTCATTGAATTTGCAATGCGTTGCAACGTTTTGTTTCATGTATTTTGCACTACTTGCGCCAATCGTTACATTTGGTGGATTACTCGAGGAAGCAACACATCAGCGAATGGTAAGTCAGTTATCATAAGTTTTGACGGATTTTCTTATCCAGATCTATTGTAAGAACGCAAATCCTGGACAGGATTTCGTCTGTGTTAGGTACTAGAAAAAGGAGTTCCTTCAGTTCTAGTACGGTTATCTAAGCCAGTTCTAGTACGATTATCTAAGCCGAAATGCACCGTTGATCAGTATGCTGCTACTCTTCATCGTAGCGTTCCTTGTTGTCGTCTTTTCAGCTGGCAACTTTTTTTT